ATAAAAAGGAAAAGAATTTTTCGTTATCATAGTTTCTCGACAAAAAGCGTCATATTATTGTTTATTAAATTTGCTGTTTTCACCCACTGTTAATTGTTTTCATTTTTTCCACTTCCCATTTCCTTTCTTCTTTCTCTATGCGCATCCTCAGGTACTGTTAATGCCTGAATTAATATTCTATTATAAAAACTTGTCTTTAATTATAAGCACACATATTTATTTCCTTTATTTATTTGCACTTACGTACGCGGTGATCGTATAGTTGCTCTCCAATAATCAAAATTTCTCCGAAATCTTATTTTTACTGTTGTTATTGTTATGGTTATTGTTATTGTTGATTTTATTGTTGTTGTTATTGTTATCGTTATTGTTATTACCACTATCATTGCCAAATCAGAATTATTGTTACTAAATAATGTTACTGTATTATTGCTATTATTGCTGCTACTGTTATTCCTATTATTACTATTATCGCGATGTTATAATTTTGGTATGTTTTTGGGTAATTATTGGTGGTTACAAATATTTTTCGGATTTACGATTACTGAATTCGAGGCGAAGATTAATTTTTGAATGAGATTTTTGTTCGCCGTACTTAATTGTTGGCTGTTAATGTTTTCACCTTATTAGTTTTTTCTATCCGATTTACCGGTTAAGTAATACATTAGAAAACGTATACAGTTAATCCTTTTTTTTTTTTTTTTTTTTTTCAAGTTTCTCTCTGATTCATTGCATATTCGTCATGAACAAAAGAAAGGCAAAAAAAAATATAGGGAAATTGGGTTCATCGAAGGATGTCAGAGCAAAGCGACTGAGTTGTGAGCGGTTTTTTAAATAGTAGTTTCAGAAGTATATTTTAAGTAGTAACTGAGAGGAATCTGATTTGGTTCAAAGCATTTGGTAAAAAAGAAAATTTTGGGTATAAAACACTAGTGTAAGCACTGTGGAATTGTTGCTACACGTTTGTAAATTCCACAGATGTTAAGTATAAGACATAAGGAGACTGAATCGTTTTTTCTTTCTTTTTTTCTTTCCAACCTTCCCTCTGCTTCTCCTCTACTTTTTTTAATCGTTTTAATCTACTTTTGGAAGGAAAAAAGAAATAATTGATTCACTCAAAATGGAAACTATTGAGGAAGTGAAGCAAATTTATTCAATGCATCAAGCGTTCAGCAGACTTCTTGCTGCATGATTGTTTGTATGACAACTGTAGTAGTAGTAATAGCAGCAGCAGTTTGGTGCTGGTAAACCACAGTAGTGTATGTGACCGTCCGTAGCGATCGATGTGCGGGTATGCTTACTATTCGTTGTTTTTCGTTAAACTTCAGCGTTTTGCCATCGTCGTCGTTAACCTTTAATTCTCTTGATACATAACATAGTTGAATGCAACAATTTGCAGATATATTTTTATACATTTTTAATCTACTCGTGCTGATCATTTTCGCTACTTAGTCGCAGTTTCCGTTAACTATGTAAGGTTCAAACCTCTTACTGTCTTAACTGATAGGTTCTGTAATCGTTCTTGGTTAATTATAGGTGATCGTTATGGTTTTTATTGTTTTTGTTGAGTGACACAGTTAACTCGTCTGAATGTGAACATAGTGGGATTATTTTGACGGCATCATTGTATCACAGCGTTAAAAAAAGAAAGAAAAAAAAAGGAAGATTGTTTACGTTTGTTTGTACACATACATCGACTTGTCTGCGTGGAGCAAACAGTTTCTGTTGTCATCATCGTCTCATTGCTATTCCTTTGTTTCAGTTTTTTTTTTTTTTTTT